TCTTCATTGCACTGCCGACCACCTCCGCCACGGTCCGCGACGAGCACTGCTAAAGTTCCAGTCGGATCCCACCAACTATTTTCGACCACCACCGTCAGTTCAGAGTAGCAGCCGCTCTTCCGCCCACATCTATTTTTTCGAAGTTTCATTGCCATCTCCATCGACTGGAATACCTCCTACAGTTCAACTGGGGATTATTTTTTGAAAATTTGATAACTTACAATGACCTATGTGCAATTTTAAAAAAATTGATTAATTTCAATTGAGTACATGTGCCGAATCTCTAATTTATAAAAAAGCTTATAGAAGGTAATAAATAATAAAAAATATTAAAATAAATAAAAATGTTAAATGGAATAACATAAAATTTTAAAAAATATAAAAATAATATAATGTAATATATCAAATATTGAATTAATAGATACATTTTAATAATAAAATAATATAAAATATTATTGGACATATTGCACCTTGAGGACGGACATGTTGCACTTTTTTGCATTCGAGATTGCACTTTAACGTAACACATGTACCGACTGAAATGATAGCCGAAATACTCGATCATTAGGTTGTACAATAATGATAGCCGAAATGCACATTATTATTTGTAGGAATACATATTATTGATTTTGGTATTTTTTATATTACGTCATTTCAACAAAAATAATATAAATTAACAATAATATTAAAATACTAATTATTTTTATAATATAGACTGTAAATAAATTATATAATAAAATAATAAACAAAAATATATTTTAATTTTTTAGGCTAATTCGATGTACAATCATATCTATTAAAACTAGATTTCAAATACCCATAATTTATTTATGAAGAAGAAAAACTAGATTTAAATACACACAATTTATTTATGAAAGTGTAAATTAGCGCACTTTATATAGCATACAATTACACTTTACAAAACAACACATTGCACTATTTCAATGTACAATCATATCTATTAAAACTAGATTTCAAATACCCATAATTTATTTATGAAGAAGAAAAACTAGATTTAAATACACACAATTTATTTATGAAGGTGTAAATTAGTGCACTTTATATAGCATACCATTGCACTTTACAGAACAACACATTGCACTGTTTCAAGCAACACGTTGCACTTTATCACATCACTCCACAGTTAATGTCGAAAGCTCTTTCCAAACTATAACGCGACATAAATCTAAAAAACGGATTTACATAATATTTTAATATTGATCACATCATCTATGCACAAATAATACAAACATGCTAACATATCAAATATTCAGTATTGCACTTTATATATCAACACGTTGCACTTTGTACATCAATACTTTGCACCTTATAACATAACATGTTGCACCTTATAAGACGACATGTTGCACGTACCAAAATCACATTGATTGATAGTTTGATTAATTACAAATTCACCCATGAACTCAATTGTAATTTATTAAGATTGTTAAAATCGTAATTAAACCTAAATGTAATTAAATTTACAAAATCAAGTCCATTTCATTACTGTATAAATTCGAAAGTGAATTTCCTGCAACCTCCGCCGACAACCTCACCAGGTGGCCACCAGACCTCCACTGACTGACGTCTATGAAGTGGCGCCGGCGACGTTGCAGACGGTGAGTTGTCCATCCGCCCACAGACCCGCCTCTGCCACAATGTCGGAGACTGACACTGAGCCAACCGGTATGGACGACAAAAGAAGAGGAAGAATCGGACAACGAGAAAGAAGGCGTGCGGCGACGGAGGATGGAATTTGTGACGGAGGCGGGTCTTTAGGCAGACGGACAACCGGAGGAGATGACGGATGGGGCGGGGCTGTTGGTTGTTACGGGATGTGGTCCGAGCGAGTACAGTGACGGCGGAGGAAGCAATTTGTGATAAAGGCGGGGCTATGGGCGGAGGAGCTGTCGGGGCAGGATGCAGATGGGTGGAGATGTTGATTGCGATGGTTTGTGGTTCCGGCAGGTTCATTGACGGCGGCAACAGAACCGACAAAGGTGGTCTTCTAAGATTTTGGGCGGTGGCCAGAGTTGTGCTGGTGACTGCCGGCGGGCGGTGGTCCGGTGGCGGTGGCAGACGTAGTGTGCGTGGTGTGTGTG